TCTTCCTGGGGTGGGGAACCTTCAGGCTTCACGCCCCATGTGGCCTTCTAGGTCCTTAAGTGCAGCCTTTCAACTAAATCCAAATTTTACCTGGGTTTGTTCTGTAAGGCTCTAGAAGGCCACATGGGGCCTGAAGCCCGAAGGTTCCCCACCCTTGGTCTCTCCAGACTCCCAAGCCAAAGAACTGGGAAGGAAAACAGGATCTAGGAAACAGGGTACTTTCTCTTATGGCCTAGGTCCAGAGATCTGCAACCCACTCACTTCACGGACAAACACAAATCAATACCTTGTTGAGGATGACAGGATTTAGCCATCAAAGGAGCATTTATTAAGTGCCTACTAGATGCCAGGCACTGTTAGGGATGGGAGACCAGGAGCTCTAAGGCTTGGTTAGAACATAGTACATTAGAGATTATCTAATGGTGTCCTTCATTTTATAGATGAGGAAATTTTACAGAGGGGAAATGATCTGCCCAGCTTCAGGCTGGTAGTGAAAATGGCAGAGCCGGCATTTGAACCCAGGACCACAGACCTTGAAGCTATTGTTTTATGCACTGACTAAACCATGTTGCTCTGCTTTCTTACCTCTTAGGAAAGTAAGGCAAATGGGTATTGCAGTGTGGTCTAAGCAGGATTGACCTGTAGGTAAGCACTTCATGCTACACACACACACACACACACACACACACACACACCCCCAGCCTAGGACCCCTGATGTAGCAGTTCAGCAAACATTCCTTAGGCTTCTACTGCATATGCCAGGCACAGTGCTAGGCCTGGCTGACATAAGGCTCCTTGCCCTCAAGGCGTTTACATTTTTTCTATACAGTACAAACTACATTCTATTGGGAGGACCCAGGGGAAGCAAACATTCAATAAAGTCCCCAGCTCTAGGGAGAATCTGGCTCAGTGCCCAAGGGGAGGGCACCAGCCACTCCACCGGCTTAGGCAAGCCACTTCCCGAGACCCAGCAGCTGGGTGCCCCCGACCCTGGCCCGACACACAGAGGAGCCACAGACTGAACAGCACAAAGTCCAGACTTTCCATGGAAACAGGGAGGTTCTACAGGCCCAGGCTGCCTGAGGCAACTCCCCTGCCCCCCAACAGGACAATAAGGCTCTGTTTTCCAAAGGGTCAGAGCTCCTGGGAAGCTGAAAGTCCACAGATCCAGACTGCAGAGGCCAGTGGGCAATGCCAACAGCTGGCTGGCCCCCCAGCAGGGGTCTGGGGGAGCTCAGAGCTAAAAGGGGTGGGGGTTGGATCTGAGACCACTGTGGCCCCTAAAGGCCATTTCCTGGGTGTAGGCCATAGGGCAGGCATTTCATGTGGAAAACATTCATCAGCCCCCACACCCCCTTCCCCTTAGTTAGTCACACAGGGGGTAGGAGAGCACAAGAGTCATTGCCTACAGGCAGAGAGCCAGCCTAGACATCCATCAGTCTCCTAGACAGCAGATCATAAGATCACAGATAGAGAGCTGGACAGAGAACCTGGGAGGCCATAATAATCTTCACTGTCACAGCTAGCATTTATATATAACGTTTGCAAAAGCACATTATATATGTTATCTCACTGGATCTTGAGTTTCACAACAACCCCGTGAAGTGGGTGCCATGATAACAGATACCATTATATAATTACAACATATAACCACTGAGGCTGAGAGACATAAAGTGACTTGCTGAGAAGTCACACAGCTAGTAGGTGTCCAAGGCAGGATTTGAACTTAAATCTTCCAGACTCCAGGCCCAAACTGTCTGCCCAGCCACTTAGTGGCCTCTAGCCCAACACTCTCATTGTACAGATAAGGATGCTGAGGCAGGCCCCAGGGAAGCTGGGTGACTTGCCCAAGGTCACACAGGTGGAATGCAATGGAACTTAAGTCTGCTGACTCCAAAGCCAATACCCTTTGCAACCAGCTAGACTGCTTCCCAAGGTATGCCCACCATACAGCCACTCAGAACTGAGCAAAATTAGAGCCTGGTACTGGAATCAGGGAATTACTGAGACAGAGTATGGTCAGAAATACCATCAGAGCACACCTCAGGTGCCACAGAAACTCCATCCAGGAAAGCCCGGCCCAGACTCTCAGCCAAAGAGTGTCTACAAAGTAGTAGGAAAAGCCACCAGCAACATTGGACAGCGGGAGAAAGATGAAGGCAGAACGGGGCAAAGCAGAGGAGGGCAGGGCTGGACACTTTGTGTTTACATTCTCTGCCCAACCAACGGAAGAGTTATAAATTTGTTACTTATTAAACAACACATGGCCAGCCTGTCTGTCACAGGCTGCTCCAGGGAGGGGAACATTTCGCCAATTATTTTCCAAAAACAAAAGTCTGGCTGCAAAGGATCTGCCACCCCACCCCCCAACTTACTCCCCCTACCCCCTAGCCCAGTCAGCCAAAAAGAAAAAAGATGGCTCATAAGCTCTCTAATGGGGCTCCCAGCTGAAAGCACTCTGGGGAGGAAAAAAAATAAAAACACAAGACCTGGGCCATTATTACGTCCACCCTCAGAAAAACAGCTGACAGCCAACTCGGGAGCAGCCAGCCAGAAAGACAGAGGGGCTGAGACCCAGAGGCCAGGCAAATTCCTCTGCCCTCCCTCCCTGGCCATCAAGCGGCCTCGGGCCCATGAGCCAGGCGTGGCCCCGCTGGCTCCTGGGAGCACAGCTGCACCCTGATCCAGGCCATTTAAACACTACATCCCCCCCCCCAACCTGTTCCATCTTTCCTTTCAGGGAGTAACTGTGTTCCTTTTTCCCTACATGGAGGAGGAGGAGGCAGCATCTGAGGGCAGGCATCCAGGATCTCAGCTTCAAACTCCAGTACCCCGAGCACAACAGAAACATGCTGTAAGCAGCTTGGGATGGTCAGCGTGGAGGTGGAAGTGTCACAGGAGACATGAAGGAGTTCACAGCTCTAAAACTGGAGAAGACCTCAGAGGCATCAAGTCCAACTCCACCCCCCCCTTGACAGATAAGGAAACTGAGGCCCAGAGAAGGTAGTAGTAACTGTCAGGGTTCTTCGAGGTGATATTAAGTGCCTACTATGTGCCCAGCACTGCACCAGGAGCAGGAGCTACAAAAACAACAGTCCCTACCCTCAAGGAGCTCACATTCTACTGGGGGCAGGGGTGAGGGGGATGAACACAAGACAAGGAAATATAGAAACTTACACAGCTAAATGAACAGAAAATATAGGGGAAATAAAACCAAAGATATTTTAAAGAGGCAGCATTCATCACTAGAGAAGGGACCAGCAAACCCCTGATGTGGCAGGTGTCCCCTGCAGGGGTGGTGGGTAAGCCCCCAGCACCTTAGTACAGTGCCTGGCACACAGTAGGTGTTTAACAAACGTTTCTGGATTCGTTTATTGGAGCTGTGTCTGGGATGACGGGAGGGCTTCCATGAGGTATATACAGAGGTGAGATGGAGAAACAGTTGTGGCCCTTCTAGCTGCCTCTAGAACACTGCCCAGGGAGTCTACAAGGTGACCAGAGTGACCAAGAAGGCACCTCAGCTGGTCCAACCTCCTCCATTTACAGATGAGGAAACTGAGGTCCAGAATAGTCAAGTAATTTGCCCAAAGTCAGAGGGAGAAAGCATCAGAAGGTGAACTTCACACCAAACCAAGTCTTTTGACTTCCACTGGTCCACCCTACCACACTCCCCACTCTGGTCATTCCCCTCCCACCCCACCCCAAGTAACAAATTGTTTAGATGAGGTAGGGTGAGCAAAGGCTGTCCCAGACTTCCTCTAGGCATACCCATTTTTAAAGGAAAAATACCTGCCCAGAACCAGTGCCAGCACTGAGAGTGTTGGAAAACGGGTGCCAAGTCTAGCCACGGAAGAACTCCTTGTCTGGAGCACAGACAGAACCCCCCGGGCTAGCCCTCCACTTGGTCTCCCGGGGAAGGCACCCAGAGAAGGGTCAGGGAGACACTCCCAAATGACCCTCCTCCCCACCTCTGCCTGGAACACTCCTGTGCCTACAAATAGCCCAGTGTCGCTCAGACCTGCTGTCCAGACTGCCCACAGGACACTGGGCAGTGGAGGAGGAGGCCCCATCTGTCCTGTCTGTCGAATACATCCTGGGAGGGCAGAGTTGTCCAGTCACCCCAGGTACACACACACACACACACACACACACACACACACTCACACTCGCACACTCACTCTCTCTCTCTCTCTCTCTCTCTCTCTCTCTCTCAGCAGCAGCTAACTTTTCCTGACTCCATCGCCCCTTCTCTCCCCCTCCTCCCTCCGAGGCATGAATGACCGCTCACCCCGTGGGGAGGGAGGCTCCTGGAGCTCCAGGCAGCGCCCACCTCCCCGCAGAGGCACCGGCCCGGACGGGCAGCCGGCTTCAACGGCCAGGGGACCCCTGAGAAGAGACACAGCCAACTTTGGCTCGGGCATCCTCTTCCCTTCGTGGGGGTCGGACTGTCCGGAGACAAGCAGAGGCGAGGGGTGCGGCCGGCGGCCAGTCCTCAGGGATGGCTCCGGGCTCCTGACCCCGAGGGGCCGGACACCCAGCCCAGCCCCCCGAACACCTCATCAGTTTCACGGGGAAACAAACACGGGCTGGGACCTATCCCACCACGGAGACCCCACTTCGGAGTCCTAGACCCCCGGGAGCCTCGGGGTGATCTCATTCAACGTGGGAGCAGCCCCCAGCCTCAGGTGGCAGCGCTCGGAGCGGGGGGCTCCCCCTTCTCGGTCCCGGCTTTGACCTCCCAGGATTGGGGGGTGGGGAGGCGGGTGCAGGAGGGGGCGACGAGGAAGACGGTGGAGTTGGAGGGGTGGGGGGCTGGCCTACTGGGTCCCCAGACCCCCGGCGCCGGGACGGAGCTGGGGGGGGCGCGGCGGGGGGATCTCAGAGCTCCTTACAAGTGCCGGGGGGGTTGCCAGCTGCCCCCCACTCTGGGGGGTCCCCCGCCCCGCCCCGTGGGGCGGGGGCGGCGGGGGCCCTGGGCCCGCGGGGGCCCACGCACTCACCGAGGTCGTCCATGGCCGGGCCGCTGTCCCCGCTCTCGCCCCGCTCGCTCGCGCTCTCTCCGCCCCGCAACTTTTCCGCCGCCGCGGCGAGCTCGGCCAGGAGCGCGCCCGCGCCCCCGCGAGTCCGCCCGCGCGCGCACGCCCCGGCACCGCCCCCCTGCGCGCGCGCCGAGCCCGGCGGGGGCGGGGCCTGCGTGGGCGCGCCCGGCGCGGGCCCGCGGGCCCCGGGCGCCCCCTGCCGGCCCCGCGTGGGGGGAGGTGGCGGCGGGGGCTCGGCGCTTCCCCGCGGGGGGCCGCCCCCCGCAGAGACCAGGCCTTGTCCCCGCGCGTAGCCGCCGCTGGGGCCTCCCCCTCGGGAAGCCGATCGGGCCTCTCTCCCACCTTCCCACGGAGAAATCCCTTGGACACCCGACCCCTACCCCTTCCCCGCCACGCGGGAGCCCCCCACGAAGAGCTGTAGGATGATCAGCCCCTTTCCTCCACACACCACCTGGGAACCCCCTACACCCGACCCTTGTCCCTACACGGACCACGTGGAACTCCCCCCAACACCCATCCAAGCCGCCACGGGGCACCCTCCCACGGAGATTGCCCCCCTGTTCCGCCCACGCCACGTTAGAGCTCTCTAGTCGCCCTCCCTAGGTCCCCACGCAAGCCCATCCCGTGGGAGCCCCGCACATAGCCCACTCCCACCACAGAACAACCCTCCCTCCCCCCACGGAGACGCTTTGTCCCCACCTCCCAGTCATTCCAAGTGGAGGCCCACCAAGACGTCCCACGCATGTTCATACAGACGCCCCATGAGCCCAGCTCCCCCTACAACAGACATGGGGCAAATGCCCTGGACACCCCTCGCATACTCCCACACACAGCAGCATCCCACACACCCGTGGAAAACCGCTTCAGAAACACCCGATGTGTCCCTTCCATGGAAGTCCCATCCCCTTTCCACTATGGGGCACCCCTCAGACACCCCAGCTCCACGCATCGTGTGGGAGCCCCCATCTACCTCTCCGCCTCCCAAAGCACAGACACCCTACCTGAGTCCTCTCACCCCCTGCATAGCCGGGGGAGCCCCCGTGGCCTGGGTTGGGGGGGCCGGGAAGGAAGCCCGCCTGGGTGCCCCCAACCTCAGCCTCAAGCAGAGACGCTCTGTCCCCGGGCCCAGGGTGTGCGCGTTTTCTCCAGGACTTTGCATCGCAGCAGGGGTGTCCATCCATATCTACAGACAGACAGGTGGATACAAGGCCACCCGGGGTGAAGGGCAGCTAGTATGGTGCACTGGATGGAGTGCTGGGCCTGCAGACGGGAAGACAAGAGTTCAAATCCACCCTCAGACCCTTATTAGCTGGGCGACCTTGAGCAAATCACTTAGCGCCTACTTTCTCCAGATATAAAGAAATGAGAAAGAACAGCAGACAGGCCAGGATAATTAGACTGTTGAGCCGGTGGAAGGGAGGAAAGTGTCAGAAGGCTGGCGGGGGCTAGGATGTGAAGGGCTTTGAATGCCACACAAAGAATTTTGTATTTCTTCCTAGAAGTAATAGGGAGCCTCTGGAGTTTACGGAGTGAGCTGCTGGGACCTGTGCTTTAGGAAAATCCCTTTGGTGGCTGAATGGAGGACAGACTGGAGAGGAGAGAGACCCCAGGCGAGCAGACCCACTCTACCCCCACAGCTATTGCAATAATCCAGGTGTGAAGACATGAGTTGGAGGGATATTATTGGCCACCCTGAAGAACTTGCATCTGCCAGAGGAAAGAGGGCACAATTTTTTTTTTTTGGTGAGGCACCTGGGGTTAAGTGACTTGCCCAGGGTCACACAGCTAGTTAAATGTCGAGTGTCTGAGGCCACATTTGAACTCAGGTCCTCCTGACTCCAAGACTGGAGCCCTATGCACTCTTCCACCTAGCTGCCCCGGGGCATGATTTTTAAGTTTTAGACAAGAATATACATTGTAATTTGAGTATCACAAACTTTGAGGGCCGTCAGAGGTGACCTAATCAATCCTTTCATTTTGCAGACCAGCTTGGACCAGAAGAGCTCTAAAGCTGGTTCTGGTTCTAAACCCTGTATTTTGTTTTTCACTCATGTCCTACTCTTCCTGGCCCCATTTGGGGTTTTCTTGGTAGTGACACTGAAGTAGTTTGCCATTTCCTTCTCCAGCTCATTTTACAGGGAAGGAAACTGAGGCAAACAGTGAAATGACTTGCCCAGGGTCACACAGCTTGTTAAGTATCTGAGGCTGAATTTGAGCTCAGGTCTTCCTCCAGGCCCTGCATTCTATCCACTTTGTCCAAATCTTGTATACAGCGCTTTAATTCTGAGAACAATTCAGTGTAGTGGGCACAGTATTATTATCTGCATTTTAAGTGTGGGGAGACCAGGGAAGTTTTGTACAGGCCAGAATGATGGGGTTCTGTCGCTAGTCCATCTATGTAAGAAGGCAGGAGTATGGACCCCATCAGCTTACCCTGGCTTATTTGCATGTCATTCCAAGAGGCTCTTGGGAGCTTGGCTTACCTTTGAATCTCAATCCCTACAAGCCCTCCAGGTGTGTTTTTGGTAGAATCCCCAAAAATGGCTCTGGGGAAGCAGGATCACTGTTAAGCACTACAGGAAATAAAAGACAGCCCCTGCCCTCAAGGAGCTTACAGTCTAATGGGGGGGGCTTGGACAACAACACCCCAAAGGAAGCCCACTTCTGGGACCCTCCTTCCTCAGCCTCATTCTTCAGCCTCCCCATCCCCACCTAGAAATCCGCATTGGCTTAATATAATCCAGTTTCATGGCTTTTTTACATGACTGTACAGACAGGGCTGGGGGCCAAAAAAGTGACCTCAGGGTCCCAGAAGTGAGGTACTGGCCTGAAGGAAAGCAGGGCCAAACTCTGTCCAGATGTATGTAGCAGAGACAGTGCCAGTCCCCAGCTCCCCAAGCATAGGGGAAGGGGCACAGAGGGACTCCCAAGGCCAACTACTGAAAGCCTTTCCTTTAAAAATGATTAAAATACATTTTATTGGTTGCTTTTCTTTATATGCCCCTTACATCTCTCAACATATTCCCCTTTCCTGCTCCCAGAGAGCCATTACGCCTTATAATAAAGAATAAAAAAGAGGAAAAAAGACAGTTGAGCAAAATTAACCAACATATCAAAATTGTCTGTTATTATAGGCAGCATGGACACTCCACCTGTGGGAAATAGGAAGAGGTACTCTCTCATATCTCTGCATGTCTTCTTTCTTTTTTTTTTTTTTTGCTAGGCAATGGGGTTAAGTGACTTGCCCAGGGTCACACAGCTAGTAAGTGTTATGTGTCTGAGGCCACATTTGAACTCAGGTCCTCTTGAATCCAGGTCCGGTGCTCTATCCACTGTGCCACCTAGCTGCCCCTCTGCATGTCTTTTCCCTGTTAAACTGTGAACTCCCCAAGGGCAGGGACTGTCTTTTGCCTCTTTTTCTAACCTCAGCATTTAGCACCTTGCCCAGAACTTAATAAATATTGATTGATTGATTGATTGATTGATCTCTTTAGGGCCAAGCTGGGTCCTTCTGCCTTCATAGCATTGTTTCAATTGCTTTGTTTTCTTCTTAACATTAACAATGTATGTGTTATTACTTTTATTGTTCTGCTTACTTTATCTTTAAAGTTTATGTCTTCCCATATGCTGCCATTTCTTAACCATTCCCCAGATGAGGGCATCTACTTTGTTTCCAGTTCTTTGCTACTAAAAATATTTTGGCTTATATGGGGCCTTTTTTTTCCCCCTTGACCACCTTGAGGAGAATATAGGCATAACAGTAGAATCTCTGGATCAAAAAGTATAGGTGTTTGAATCATTTTCTTCACCTAATTCCCAATTGCTTTGTAAGATGGCTTGATTCACAGCTCCACCAACAATGCATAAGTGTCTTCATTTTTGTATAACCCCTCTAGCAATGGCTACCTCTATTCTTGTCATTCTACTGAGTGTGATGTGAAAATAGATTTATAGTCCTCTTATTTTCAGTGATTTGGAGCTTCTTTCATATGCCAGTCCCCTAATTTTTTTTTTTTTGGCAAGGCAGTTGGGGTTAAGTGACTTGCCCAGAGTCATACAGCTGGTAACTGTTATGTGTCCGAGGCTGGATTTGAACTCAGGTCCCACTAACTCCACTGTGCCACCTAGCTGCCCCCAAAGTCCCCTAATTTAAGGAGGAAGAAACAGAGTCCTAGAAGGGTGAAGTGATTTGCCCAGTTGGTAAAATAGAGATTTAAGTCTAAGTTTCGATCACACAACCTTCCTGATATTTATTAAACACCCTTTAATGGGTACCCAACACTATTCTAGCTTGTATTTGGGGGAGTTGAGGGGTAAAAATTAGTAGTTTATGGCCTAGTTTGAGAAATCAGCCTCCACTAAGCATTTATTAAGCTTCTGCTCTTTATGAAGCTCTGGGGATACAAAAACCAAAACTGAAAGCAGTCTCAGCCCTTTAGGGGCTCAAACTGTATTGGTGTAATCTCAGAAAACCCAATAAGCTGTGACTTACTCTTGGTTTTCCCATTAATTTTAATATCTTGGCCAAGTCGATTTATCTCTGAACATCAAAAAGCTAATGAGAGAGGAAAGAATTTCAGAGGCACATTACGTCAATAAAGGAAATTTCATCAAGGCACTAAAGAAATAAAGAGACAGATAACACCTTCAGGTTAAAATGAAACCCCTTCCAAAAACCCTACTAGCTTCATTCATATTTATAGTTACATCTTAGAGGAACTAGTTATCACAGCCTTATAGAGAGAAATATCACAAAACAAAATTGGGATTATTAAACCAAGACTAAATCTGCCCTTTAACCCATGGGAGACTCATAGTTCTTGGGTCCTGACAATTCTTGAACTTAGAATTAGAAAAGTCTTTTAAATTCTGTTGAATCTTTAATTGTGAACCTGTTTACCCAAAGTCATTCTGGGGACTCTGCCCAAAAAAATACACAATAAGGGTTGTAACGTGACTGAGACTGGAGATTCAGAGGTGAGCTACACTCCCAAGAGCCTCTTTGAAGACAAATAAATGTAAATAAAGCTAGGGAAAGCTGATAGGGTCCACACTCCTGCCTTCATTATACAAATATGCATTATACAGCAACAGAACCCCAGACACCTGGGAATCATTCTGACCAGTATACAATCTCCCTGGTCTCCCTACACTTAAAATGCACATAATATTGTACCCATTTCACAGAGTTGCTCTCAGCAGAATTAAAATGCTGTACACAGGATTTAGAACTGGAACCAACATTGGAGATTATCTAGTACTGCCTTGTTTTACATCTGAAGAAATTCAGACCCAGCAAAAGTGAGTAGTATGTCCAAGGTCACAGAGGAATTCAAATCCAGGTCCTCTGATGACCCCAAATCCAATCCTTTTTTCCCCACAACACCAGTGGAATGAATAAACCATTGAATAATTAGGTCATTAGTTTAATAAACATTCAAGAGGACTCCAGGTAGAGAAATGAGCTGGCTTTGGTGTCAGAAGACTTGGATTCAAATCCTATGTCTGGGCTGATCTCATGCTAGGCACTTAATACTTATCAAGACTGACTCTTTTTCTTTGCATTCCATGTGCCTAGCACTGTGCCTGGAATATAGACACTTTTAATAAATGCTTCTTGAATTCAGTTGGATTTGATGATCTTACAGGATATGGGGGTGGGGAGAAGGGAGTCATGAAAGAGCAGTTTCAGTCTTAGCTGGGCACTGTGCCCATAGAACCAACTAGAATGGACCTTGTTTCCTCCAGGGGAGAGAGAGGAAAAAGGGGAGGGAGAGGAGAGGAAAGGAGAGCAGGGAAAAGAAAGGAGAGAGAGAGAGAGACTAAGATACAGAGGGGGCGGAGAGAGGGGGGGGAGAAAAGTGAAAGACATGTGAGAGAGATAAAGATAGATGTGAGAGAGAGAGACAGAGAGAAATGGGGGAGAGACAGACAGAGATGGGGAGAGAAAGAGACAGACAGACAGACAGAGATGGGGAGGGAGAAAAGTGAAAGACATGTGAGAGAGATAGAGAAAGATAGATGTGAGAGAGAGAGAGAGAGAGAGAGAGAGAGAGAGAGAGAGAGAGAGAGAGAGACAGAGAGAGATGGGGAGAGAGAGAGGAAAGAGAGAGAGACAGATGGAGGGAAAGGGAGAAGAAGAATACCTAAGTTGACTAGCTGACCCAAGAATTAAAATTGTGGATGTGAAAAGAACCAAGCTTATCTATTAATTAGTTTTTAAAATTATACACTTAATACTTGTGGAATAAAAGTCAAAATCTTACCCAGCCTCTGGAGCTTTAAAGAGAGACCCAAATGAACAAATAAGGAAAGAAAACACTTTTTTGCTCCAGGCCCGATATTTCACCTCCACTTTTGCTAAGCTGGACTTTGGGACAATGCAGGTGGTACTGAGGTTGCTCCCATTTTTGTAAAGCTGTTTCTGGTCCCCTAAATTGTGCACTGAGCCAGTGACCCTTTGCAGGATACACTGTGGAGCAGGGGGCTGAGGAGAGGCCCTTGGCCAAGGGGTGGGAGGGGTGGGGAGAGAGAAGGGATTCCTGATGGCCGAGGACATGTTGGATTCCTGTCACTTAGCATGTGTGTAACTTTGAGCAATTTATTTAACCCCTTCCAGGCTTCTGCTGCCTCAGTTGTCAAATGAAGGTTTTGGAGCCTGAAATCTTTGATCCAGCCCTCTCTGGTGACCCAGGCCTACCGGGGATACAGAGGTGTTGCAGAAACGTCTTCTCCCTTTTCCTGTAAGACACAGACATGAAAATCAAAATTCTATTTGGGAGCAAAACAGACTTCCCAAGACCGTGTCAGAGTGGGTGGAGTGCTGGACTTGGGAGTCAAGAAAAGGAATAAGCACCTGTGATTTCATTGATCTAGAGCACTTCCAGATGAAGAAACTCCCTCTACCAATGCAAGTCTTAGAGAGTTACCCAAAACACTGAGAAGTTAAGTGGCTTGCCTACAGTCACAGAGCCAGAACCTGTCAGAGGAGGGGCTGGAACTCAGGTCTTCCCAGCTCTAGGACTGCTCTCTAACCACTCTGTAAGACTCTTAAACTTTCTCTGGATGTGGACAGCAATTTCCATTGTGAGTGTTTTGGAGATGTCTTAGATTCTTGCATTACTGAGAAGGGCTAAGTCTATCAAGGTCAGTCATCGCACAACGTGGCTGTTGCTGTGTACAGTGTTCTCCTGGTTCTGCTCACTTCACTGCATCAGACCACACAAGTCTTTCCAGGTTTTTCTGAAGTCAGCCTGTTCATCATTTCTTATAACACAATAGTATTGCATTACATTCATATACCACAACTTGCTCAGCCATTCCTCAATTGATAGGCAGTCTCTCAATTTCTAATTCTTTGCTACCACAAAAAGAGCTGCTATGAATATTTTTGTACATTTGGGTCCCTTCCCCCTTTTAATGATCTCTTTGCAATATAACACTAGAAGTGCTATTGCTGGCCAAAGGGTATGCACAGTTTGATTGCCCTTTGGGCATAGTTCCAAATTGCTCTCTAGAATGGTTGGATCAGTTCACAACTCCACCAACAAAGCATTAGTGTTCCAATTTTCCCACATCTTCTCCAACATTTATCATTTTCCTGTTTTGTCATGTTGGCCATTCTGATAAGTGTGATGTGGTACCTCAGAGTCGTTTTGATTTGCATTTCTCTAATCAATAACGATTTAGAGCATTTTTTCGTATGACTATAGACGGCTTTAATTTCTTCATCTGAAAACTGCCTGTTCATATCCTTAGACCATTTACCAATTGGGAAATGGCTTGTATTCTTACAAATTTGATTCAATTCTCTATGTATTTTAGAAATGAGGCCTTTATCACAGACATTGCTTGTAAAAATTGTTTCCTACTTTCTGCTTCCCTTCTAATCTCAGTTGCATTGGCTTTGTACAAAAACTCTTCAATTTAATGTAATCAAAGTTATCTATTTTGCATTTCATAATGTTCTCTATCTCCTGTTTGGTCATGAATTCTTCCTTCCTCTATAAATCTGACAAGTAAATTATTCCTTGCTCTCCTATTTTGCTCATAGTATCAGCCTTTATATCTAAATTGTGTACCCATTTTGACTTTCTCTTAGTATACAAAATTAGTAAGTTGGACTAATTGGCCTATGAGTTTCCTTCCTGCTCTAAATCTGGACTCAGTTTCCTTTTCTGTAAAATAGGGAGAATGATGAGAATAGATTTGTTGTAAAGATCACACAAGACAATGGATGTAAAGCATTTTGCCAACATTAAAGCCCCAGGTAAATGTCAGTTATTGCCATCTGAACTATGAATCCATGGGAAGGAGAGGTCACTATGCTGCCAGAGTAGGCAGGGAGGGTATATGAGCAGCAGGACCATTAAAGTATAGAACTGGGAGGAACCTCAGAGGCCATCAAAGCTTCCTTTCCTTTGACAGAGACACAGAGAGAGAGAGAGAAAGAGAGAGAGAGAAGGGGGAGAGAGTCCAACCCTTTCCCTTTACAGAAGAAAGAACTGAGGCACAGAGGAGGGAAGAGATTTCCTCAAGACTTCACAGGTAGTTAGTTACATCTGAGATGGGCACATCCATCTCTTGCCTATACCTGGAATGTACTCCCTAGTCACCTCTGCATCTTAGAATCCCATGTTTCCAAGCTCAGTTCAAGTCCTACCTTATGCGAGAAGCCCTTTCTGATCCACCCCAGCTGTTAATACTGTCCTCCAAAAGTTACGTTGCATCTATTCTAGAGAGAGAGAGGATATATATATATATATATATATATATATATATATATAAAAATATATAATATACAGAATATAGTATATATACTATATATAATAATATACATATAGTATATATACCATAATACACGTATATTATATATTTTATATATATATATATAAATAAAATATATAATATACAGAATATAGTATATATACTATATATAATAATATACATATAGTATATATACTATAATACACGTATATTATAGTATATATACTATACACTACAGAGGGTAGCCACTACTCTCAGATTCTGGGGTATCTTGTAAGTCTGAATTCCTTAAACTATAGCCCACAAGCCCCTACTGGTGATCTTACCTTTAACAGTCAGCCAGTAGATACAATCACCTCAAAACAAGGGCATTATGGAGATAGCATAGTAAGACCAATAATTGCAAAATATTACCCCCATGAATCTTGGGTGTACCCTCCCACAAATACACATGGCACCCACTGGAAGAGTAGACACAAACATAGAGTGCGCCAGTTGTAGGGAACAAGATAACTCATGTCTCTGTACTTCAGTGACCCAGTGTGTTTCTCTCCTCCTGAACACAACTGAGGCACAGCTGCGCTCCCAGGGAGAACTCCTATCTGGAGCTCAATTTTCAATACCCAGGACTAATTCTCACTTGAGTCTATTATCAATACTCTTCTTTGCTGCCAGAGGTTCTGTTTTTTGAAGCTGCTTCCTTCCTTGAGTGATGTGACCCTCTCTGTGTGTCTGTGTCAGTATGGAGAGTGTGTATCTCTCTGCTGGTTGCTGTGTCTCCTACTGGGTAAGTAGCTCTGCTGCCCTGGCTGGTGGGGGAGATGGTGTGGAAGACAGGAGAAGATTCCCCCCATACCCCATCGAGGTATCAGGGTTATCAAATGCCACAAAGCTGTTGCCTCCAGTTGGCAATCTAGCCTTTAAAAAAAAAGCTTTTGATGTATTTTTAATAGCAAAATAGTTTCCCCCAGTATCCTTATCCCACCCACTCCCTAGAGTCATCCCATATAACAAAAAGTATTTTTAAAGACCAAAAAAAGCAAAAAAAAAAAAGGTGGGGAAATCAGCATAACTGATCAAAAAAATTGAAAAAGCCTAAAAATATGTGTAATGTGGGGGCCTTCCTGCCCTACAAAGGGGTGGAAGTGTCTTCTCGAGTCTTTTCCTTCAAAACGTGCTTGTTCTTTATAATTTTGCATGCCCTCTTTTGATGTTTTAGGATTATTCTTCCCACTGACATTTCTGTAGTCAGTGCATATATTGTTTCTTATTTCTCTGTGCATCTGTTCACATAGACCTTTCCACATTTCTCTGTATTTCTCACATTCATCACTTTTCATAGCACGTTCATCACTCCACTATATTCATGTACTGCAGTTTGCTAAGCCGTTCCCCAAGTGATGGGCATCCACTTTGTTTCCATTCTTTGCTATCACAAAAAGGGCTGCTATAAATATTTGGGGCATATGGGGGCTTGCTTCTTAACAGTGACCTCCTAAGGGTACAAGCCTAGTAACAGAATGGCAAGCCCGCTTTTTAAGGGCAATGAGGGGCATGGGAAATCTTCAGCCAGCCAGAGGTGGTTACCCCTTCAAATTCAATCAAGGCACTTTATCACACTTCCTAAGGGGAGGCATGGAATGCATAAAACTTCACACACTTAAACACCTCCTTATCTGCCTTTTACTTTCTGCAGACTGGGGGTGGGGGTTGGGATGGGAGTTGGGGGTATTACTCAGATACCATCTCTCTCTCTCTCTCTCATCTCTGTCTCTCTCTGTCTCTCCCTCCTCTCTCTTTCTCCCCCCCTTCTCTTTCTTTCTCTCTCTTCCATAGACACATATACACACACATGTACATGTTGCCTAGATTGTAAATTCCTCACAAGGACCATTTTCCCTTTTCTTTGAATGTTGGCATCTGGCACAGTGCTGGGCACACAAATGCTCAGGTCTTTGACTTTCCATTTCCAGCCTCGTCCACTAACAGCTTACAGAGAGAAATATCAGGGGCTGCAAATGAATGCAACCTGGACTCGAGGCTGAAGGAGTGAGAAGAGTCATCACAGCGGGGAGTGGGGAATGTTTCTTGGAAGAGGTGAGCTTGGAACAGCTTCTGGAGAGAGGGAGAACTCCGGATCAGGGGAGAGCAGAGGAGTGGGACCGGCATTCCAGGAGGGAATGGTATGTGCAAAGGAATGCAGGCAGGAACAAACTTGTTGTGTGCCCCTTGAATTGAGGAAGGTTGAGACAGAAGTGGTTCCAGCTGCTTCCTACCCCAAGAAGGAGCTAATTCAGAGAACCACAGAGTCCTAGGACTTCAGAACTGAAAGGGATCTCAGAGCTCAAATGATCATGGGTTTAGGGTTGGAAAGGACCATACAGGTTACCTAATAGCAGAAGAAGGACAGGAAGAGGAAGGATCACTGACTTTGGAATCAGAGGACCTGAGTTCAAATCCTGACTCTGCCAAGTATGTGGTCTTAAGCAAATTATTTCTCCTTGTGCCTCAGTTTCCTCATTTGTAAAATGAAAGAATTGGACTAGATGATCTCTAAGGCTCTTTCCAACTCTAAGTCTTTGATCTTATGAATGCTTAACTATATGACCTCTCTGGGCCTCAGTTTCCTCATCTGTAAAATGCCTAGTTCAGACTAGTTGGTACCTAAAGTTCCTTCCAACTCTCCGGTCCCAGGATGGACCACTAGGAAACTACACCTCTTAGAAATTTTTCAGGCAGCAAGGAGGCACAGTGGATAGAGTGCTGAGCCTGGAGTCAGGATGACCTGAGTTCAAATTCAGCCTCAGACCCTGTGAGAATCACTTCATTTCTCTTTGCCTCAGTTTCCCCAGCTGTAAAATGGAGATGATAATAATAAGCAGTTACCTCCCAGACTTGTGATGATCAAAAGAAATATAATAACCATGAAGTGCCTCGAGCATAATAAGCATTCTGTTTAAATGGTAGCTGCCTTT